TCTGCTCTCAACTATGTCTGATGTGCTAAGTCCAAAGTCCTTCGTTCAACTCTTTCAGAGATAAAAACTTGTCTCCAGTCTCTTTCTGGGGTCAGGGGAAGCACTAGGTGGGGTCCGGTCACTCTTCGTTTGCTCTTGGAGCTATCTTTTTATCTTTCACAACAGCCTAATCCTGCTCCTATAGCTACCTGGAGTCTACAGCTCTTGAGTCCCTTGTGAGTTCTGAAGGGAGTCTTAACCAATGTCTCTGCTCTTCTCTAAGGACTCATGAGTCAGCATTCTTCATTTCTCTGCAGCTCTGCTCTCTTCATGCTCTTCATTCTTATGGATTCACACCTGGTTGGTTGGTTGGTTGGTTGGTTGGTTGGTTGGTTGGTTGGTCAGTTGGTTGGTTGGTTGGTTGGTTGGTTGATTGGTTAGTTGGTTGGTTGGTTCCTTGATTCTTTGGTTCCTTGGTTCCTTGGTTCCTTAGTTCATTGGTTGGTTAGTTGATTAGTTGATTGGTTGACTAGTTGGTTGGTTGGTTGGTTGATTGGTTAGTTGGTTGGTTGTTTGGTTGGTTCCTTGATTCTTTGGTTCCTTGTTTCCTTGGTTCATTGGTTGGTTGGTTAGTTGGTCAATTGGTTAGTTGGGTGGTTGGTTAGTTGGTTGATTGGTTGGCTGGTTGACTGGTTAGTTGGCTGATTGGTTGGATGGTTCGTTGGTTTGTTGGTTCATTAGCTTGTTTTGTCCATTTGTCTTTTGCTAACATTTTAGTAGTGCTGTGCAAGGTGACTGATACAAAATCATAGACTCAATCCCCTACATTTAACCAGAATGATTCCCTTGTGGCAGCTACTCCAAATTGGTGCTGGTAGAGTAAAAGTGGCAGCTCTGAATCACTGTCAGTCCAAGTTTACTACTGGTTAAAATAGGGGAAATCTGATCCAACAGCAGAGGATGTGGCTGTAGGACAGGGATTTTTGGATTAAAAGATAAGTCAGAGATAGATCTGGGCATGGGGTTACATGCCTATAATACCAGCACACTAGAGGCTAAAGCAGGAAGATGACAAATTAGAAGCCAATTTAGCTACATAGCAAGTCCAAGCCCAGGTGATCTGCAAAGCAAAATCCTGTCTCTAACTAATTAAAGTAACAATTCATTAAATTAGTAAAAAAAACAAATGACTCAGGCCTTGAGGGTTTTGTCATATACAAGTAGACACTGTGTTGTCTTCACAGGAGGACAATCTGTTATTGCTTAGAAAGTTTCGATGTTTAGTTTAAAAGTTCCACTGTCACCATCTTGAAATTCTTTGTGTGTGTGTGTGTTGCATATATGTATGTAGACTCATGCAAGTGTTCACACACATGTGTGCACACATACATATAGAACATACAGAACTTAGTGGCCAGTGTTCAGTTGCCTTAGACTCCCACCTTATTTTTTGACACAGTCTCTCACTGAACCTAAAGTTCACCAATTTGGTTAGAATAGCTGACCAACAAACTCCAGGGATCCTCCTGTCTCTGCCTGCCCAGTGCTGGGATACAGGCACACCTGGCCACATACCCCCTTTTTACAGCTTTTCACAAGAGTGCTGGGGATCCAAACTTAAGTCCTCATGTTTGTGCAGTGACCACTTTATCAGCGTCACCATCACCCCAGCCCCATTGAAATTCACAATAATTTCCAAATGAGAGCCTAACAAATTGCATGACAGTATTTTGAGAGCACAGAAATTACAGAAACCCTCATCGACCAAAGAAAGACAAGAACGGGACATATGAAGGTAAACGCCAGGAAGTTCTCCAGAAAAGGAACTGGCTGACTTAAACAATCCATTACTTTGTGGGTTAAGAATTATCAAAGAGTGGAGCTCAGCTCAAGTTGATTATTGAACTTCCAAATCCATTTTCGGGTGTTTGAAACTGTGGTCAATGTTAGATTCCTCAGGCTGTGTGGAAATACAACATCTGCCTACAGAGAGCAACATCACAAGCTCACCACTGGGCTATTTCTGCTATTTCTCGGCTGATCTGATCAGTTTCTGAGAAGCATTTGTTCTAGTTTCTTTCTCTACCGTCCTGACCTTGCTATCCTGAAATCTTTTACACCCTCCAGGCTTTAGCGCTTACGTGGTCAAGCCTGCCTATGCATACCCAAAGCCCAACTAAAGTTTTCTTTATTGCTACTCAACATCCACTTCTCATTCTTCCTCACTTACAGAAAACAAGCAATACTGGGAGCAAAAATGTAACAAGCTGAAAACTTTATGTCCCTGCCCTGTCTTACAGGTGGGCCTTAGTTCTGGCCAATTTGGCTTAGTGGAAGCTGTCTATGGTTTTATTGGGACTGTTTTAAAATGTACTTGTTTTCTCCTTCCTCTGCATCTTGTTCTCTTTCCTGCTGCCTGATGTTCTTAAGTGACAGTTGGAGCTACTGCAAGTCACTCAGCAAACATTTAGTTAATGAGCACTTGCCAGGTATTTTTCCAAGATATAGAGATATAGCAATAACAAAACTAGTGTTCTTGCCCTTGTGGTATGTAAAATCTAGCAGACCAGATGACAACAGGAAGAAAGGCAATAGAGCTGGGAGTGATGGCACATAATGCAATCCCAACACCCAGACGCTCAGCAGAAGGATCGGGAGCTTGAAAGTAGGCTGGACTGTATAGTGAAAGCCTACAGAAAGGAAAAAAAGGAAGGAGGGAGGGAGGGAGGGAAGGAGGTGAGGAGGGAGGGAGAGGGAGGAAGGAGAGAAGGAGGGAAGGAGGGAAGGAGAGAGGGAGGAAGGGAGAGAGGGAGGGAGGGAGGAGAGGAGGGAGGGAGAGAAAGGAAGGAGAGAAGGAGGGAAGGAGGGAGGGAGGGAAGGAGGGAGGGAGGAAGGAGGGAAGGAGGGAGGGAGGAAGGAGGGAAGGAGGGAGGGAGGAAGGAGGGAAGGAGGGAGGGAGGAAGGAGGGAAGGAGGGAGGGAGGAAGGAGGGAAGGAGGGAGGGAGGAAGGAGGGGAGGAGGGAAGGAAGGAGGGGAGGAAGGAGGGAGAGGGAGGGAAGGAGGGAGGGGGGAGAGAGGGAGGGAGGGAGGAAGGGAAAGGAGAGACAAGAGAGGAAAGGGAGAGAGAAATAGGGAGAGAGAGAAGAGAGGAGGCAGAGAGAGGAGAGGGAGAGAGAAAGCGAGAGATGAGAAGGAGGCAAGGAGACTCACATCAGCTTGATTTTGACATGGCTGAGCAATTGAACCAAATATATGAACTTCCTTGAGAAAAATAAAATGCTCTTTAATCAGGCTTTCTACTTTTTGCAGCTGAATATATTCCTAAACAAGTTTGTTGTTGTTTTTAATACAGTCTCATATATGCAGTCTGGTCTTGAACTCACTATGTAGTTGAGCATGACCTTGAACATAAAATTTTCTGGCCTCCACCTCCTGAACACTGAGATGAGACTTACGCCACCATTATCTTGTGCCAGTAGTGCTGGGGCTCAAACCCAGGGCTTTATGTAGCCTAGGCAAGCACTCTACCAAGTAAGCTACGTTCTCAGCCTTCTGTCTAATTCTTTAATTTCAGGTAAGATCCTTATGGTTAAAACTTTCTAGAGAGCACCTTGATTATGTAAAACATACTTTCTCAACCTTAGCCCTCAACATTTTGGGTCAGGTTACTGTGTGTTGTGAGCATCATCCCAAGCATCGCAGTACACACAGTACACACAGGACATCAGTCCACACTGCAGAGATAACAGCATCGTCCTATTCCAAGACATGTTAATCAAAAATGTCTTCCACAAAGAAGAAAAACCACAGGAAAACACAGAACAATCAGCTATCTACAAGCCATGGAAAGAGTCTTTGACCAACATCATCCACATAGACACTTTGGTCTTGAACTTCTAGCCTCTAACCCTGAGTGGAAATTTCTGTTGTTTAAGTTATGGCAGGCCATGGCATTTAATTATGGTCTAGCTAACTGTCAACACAAAAGCATAATTCTCACCTCAAAGGGAATAAGAGATAGTTTATTCTAGAGCCAAATGTGAGCTCCAGGGCCTGGGAACACAGATTCAGGTTACCCAATTCCATATTCCAACATGGAAGCAGCTTCTTGAAGTTTTTTTAATTTTATTTATTTTTACTTTATGTGTATAAGTAAAGCAATGAGTATTGCTTGCATGTAGGTAGGTGCACCCATGTCGTGCAATGCCCACAAAGGTCAGAAGAAGGGGTCAGATCCCCTGGAACTAGAGTTAAGGATGGTTGTTAACTGCCAGGTAGATGCTGAGATCTGTACCGGGTCCTCTGCCGAGCAGCCAGCACTCTTATCCACTGAGCCATCTCTCAGCCCCTCAAGAAGTTTTTATGGTAACAGAACAAAGAAAAGTCAGAAATCACAAAACTTTTCAAATACAGTAGTGGACACAAGGGAACAAACTGTTTCTTTGTTAAGTTAATATATTCTGTTAGTCACAAGAATGATAAGTCAGAGACAGGGGTAGGCAAGGAGTGGCCCAAGATGACTTGTGCACAGGCTCTGGATCAGTGCCATTCCAAACTCTCCACAGTCCCTTGAAGTGCTAATCAGTGGGTCAGCTTTGTAGGAAATTCAGTTCAAGATGCATATTTTTCTGGGAACTTTTTGTTCACATAACTAATATATACATTACAAACCCCTTAAGGATAGAGATTATATTCTTTCTAAAAATATTTGTATTAATTCTTTGAGAATCTCATACAAAGTATTTTGATCGAATCCCCTTCCCCAAATGTCCTAGATCCACCACTTCTAATACAGGAAGAGCAGGGTGTCTTTGGTAGCAATGAAGCCTTTCTGGGCTCTGTTGTGCTTAGTATGAGAGGCTAGGGTCTTGGAAACTCAATGGCCACCGAGGCCACCTCAAGCCAGAGACATTCAGGCTCTTGTCTTGCAAATTTGAAGAATGAACTTCACGGACCACAGGGTACGTTTTAGAAAGGAGTATTTATTATAGGGATCTTAGGAAAGAAAGCAGAGCTCCCGGACAACAGGAGGGGTCCCGGGGAGTGGAAATCCACTGAGTTTCATTGTTCAGGAGTTAATAGGGGTTTAACAGAGAGAGGAGGGGAGGGGGACATGGGCTGGTCAGTCCCATTCTCATTCCAGGAGTCCAGGTCCCTGGGAATTCTGGTCATGTCCTCAGCTTGTCTTCTAGGAACACGGTAATTACTTGAAGAAAAAAAAAACAAGATAAGGAAAATATGAAACCCCCTGACTGGCATCCCCAGACTCTGGCTGTGACAGAAGCACAGACATCTTTGGATTAGCTAGTTCTGGTATCTATCTAGGTAGTCTCAGATAGGGACAAGTGGACTGGTAGATCCAAGGGAATTTCTCAGCTTCCAGCCAAGAAAGAAACTGGTCATTGTTCTTTTGGAGTCTTTACCCTAAAACTGCCTAGTCCATTTCTACCTCCTGCTCTTATCATTCCTCCCTCTGAGGAGGTAACCCTAACTGCCCTTAGGGGATTAGAACGAAGATGGCTCTAGCTTCTTCCATGCTGAATAGGGGTGTCGGGTGTGGAGGTCAGGGTACCCCTCCAGGGAGTCTATCTAAAAGACCCCCAAAATGCATGAGTGGCTTTATTGTATGACTGCCAGGTGCAGTGAGGTAAGAAAGACTCTAGTTGTTGGCTAGTGATGTGGGGGAATAAACAGTAAATGCAAAAGAAGTTGAGGGGAATAGGTCAGGGGTTTTAGGGTTCCCATGCTTGTAGACTCTCAGGTTTTGGAAGACAATCAAGAGGGCCCATGTAGATTGAGTTAGAACATCGTAGGACCATCTGAGTGTGGACTGATCCTAAATGAGAAGCAATGAAATTGAAACAGCAGTTGAGAGTACACAAGGTCCAAATGTCAATAGAATTACTCTTAAGGTCCTACCAGACATAACTCCCTTCTACCATGAGGATTTTTGTTCCATATTTTACTCATTATTTTTATTTTATATATATAAGTGTATTGCCTGCATGCATGTGAGTGCACCTGTGTCGTACAATGCCTCAGAGGTCAGAAGAAGGTGTCGGATTCCCTTGGAACTGGAGTTAAGGAGAGTTGTAGCCACCATGTGGGTGCTGGGACTTGAACCTAGGTCCTCTACAACAGCACTCAGTGTTCTCAACTGCTGAGCCATCTCTCCAGCCCCCCACCATGAGGACTTAAAGATCCATTTCCAGAGCTGTTTGCCAAAAGGTATGGCACTGTCTATTACTGTCTGAATCTGCTTTTGTAGATCTTGTAAAGCAGATGAGATAAGCAGAATTGTCAGGGATGTGTACACACCATTCAACTTTGACGAAGGCACAGATCCCACCTTGTGCCATGTCAGGACATCTAAAGTCATGAGGTGTTGTATGATTGCCTTTTGAATTTCAGAGTTAAAAAGACAAATTCCTTGAGCTGTGCATTTAATGCCTTTTGAGTATATTTAGTGAGTTTCAATATGCCAAATGACATCTTCTAGGCCTGTAGATGGCATAAAAAAACAAATGCTAAATGATCATACCAGTGGAAAACACTTCAGGTCCAGCGATGTTGTAACAGGTAAACTGGGAGGGTGTTCTAGAGTTTTAATTTATCTTCCCTACATCTGAGGAAATCCTAGAGTACATCTGCCAATCCATCCTGGGGGTGCCCACAGCCAAAGGTTTAAGCTATTGGGTGCCATTAGGGGCTGCCCAGCATATTCTTGACCTCTCGTGTCATTCAGTAGCAAACCAGTCTGATGGATTAAGGGTGATAATTTTCTGACATAAAGTCAGTAGGAATCCATCCTAGATATCAAACATTACTGGAACATTTTGAGCCAGTGTGGTTTTGTTCCCAACATAAGGGAGCCATTTCCTTAAACGACCTTTCGTTGGGGTCAACCACATATATGTATCCCATACTTGAAAATAGCCATCTTGAGAGCCAGATGTGGTGGCACACGCCTTTAGTCCCAGTACTCAGGAGGCAGAGGCAGGAGGATTTCTGTGACTTCAAGGCCAGCCTGGTCTACACAGCGAGTTCCAGTCCAGGTGGGGCTACAGGGAAACCATGTCTCAAAAAGATCAAAAAAAAAAAATAGCCATCTTGATATCTATGATTGTTTTTCTCTTACTGTGGGACTAGAACTACTCTAGAGAAAGGGGTTAAAATATCTCGATAGGGCTCTATCAGTATCCTCTCTTGAAAAGCTCTTCCCATGCCCTTTTTGATTCCAAGTTGAATTAATAAGCCATTGAGAAACATCCCATGAAGTAATTTGTTTTAAGATTGGGGAATTATCTCTGGCCTGATGAATATACTGTTGTAATTGATTCCAATCATCCCCCTAAAGGGGAGATACCCACTATGGAAAGCCCAGAAGTTCTGGAGGTAAGGAGTCCACAGGCCCAGGAATTACTCTGTTTACTATCTTATGCATATTCTTGGGCCTGTACAAGGAATGAATTTTCATCCTGCGTATAGGCAGGTGGAAACAAAAAGCTAGCCAATATTAAAAACAGGAAACAAGGTATATTTTACAAGAGAAGAAAAAATGGGCTTATTTGTCCTTCCTTTAGAAGAAGGATTTTAATTCCTCAAAGAGTTCACAGGCATATTCCTCGGTGACTGGTTTGTTTGGTTTGACCTCTGGTGTTTCTCTCTGGCTTCAGGGTTTGACTCCAGTGGTGGATCCAGGATTCAATTCCAGGCACTTCGATGGCTATTGGGGTAGCTAGAATCACTGTGTGAAGTTCCTCCCAGGTAGGTTCTAGGGAAGGAGAGAGGGGAGAGCTTTGACCAGCACCTGATCTCCAGGGTGGAACAAAGGTGAGTCAGTCTCTCTGGTGCAAGCCTCATGCAGGCACTGTAACATTTGTTGGAACTGAGCCAGAGTCGTGATGTATTTGAGCAGCAGTTTCCTTATCAAGAAGAAAATCAATAGTGAGACACAGATGCCCATATAGCATCTCATATGGCCCTAAACCTAACACCTAAGGAGTATTTCTGATAGACAGCAGGTCTATGGGCAGCAAAGTTATCCGTGGTAAGTGGGTTTCTTGAGACAGTTTTCTCAGATGTCTCTTAAGGGTCTTATTAACTTTCTCCACTTTGTCAGAGGACTGTGGCCTCCAGGCACAGTGTAGGTGATACTGTATCCCCAGGGCCTTAGGGACTCCCTGGGTGACTGTTGCCTTGAAGGATAGGCTATTGTCACTCTATAGACTTTACTACCTCTGAGGCCTTTTCTGTCCTGCAGGAGAAAACTTCCACCCATGGTAAAGGTGTCTACCAATACCAGAAGATATTGTGTGCCTCTAGACTTCAGCATATGGGTGAAATCTATTTGCCAGTCTTCCCCTTCCAGATCCCCTCCAGTACACTGTACACCTGGAAGGGCTACTCTTTTATTTAGAGGATTGTTTTCTAGCATATTTCACAGGTTCTGGTAACCTGTTTAATGGTCTTTAAAATATTTTTTCCTGTAAGTAGCATCTGTGCCATCTGATAAGTAGCATTTGTCCCTCCATGGAAGGTTTGGTGAAGAGTTTTAAGAATTTTCCATTGGTTAGCATCAGGTAAGAGTAGCTTTCCTTTGTCTGTCTGAAGCCATCCTGTGGATTGCAAGGCATGCCCTCGTGACAAGGCTCATTCCTTTTTATGGGGAGAATATTGTGGGTCTATTCCCTCTAGAGTGCCTTCCCAAACCAAGGGTGCCTCTATCGCCTGTGAGGGGAGGAGGTTCCTAGCAACAGCCTTGGCTGCCTGGGTGGCCAGTTTGTTCCCCTCTGAGGTTCCATCTAGTCCTTTTCGATGTCCTTTTCAGTGTATTCCTGCAACTTCAGAGGAAAGAAAGACTGCAGTTAAAAGCTTATCTAGCTCCTGGTGGTATTTAATAGGAGATTCAGAGGCTGTCAGTTAATTTCTCTCTTTCTAAATAGTGGCATGAGCATGGAGGACCAAGAATGCATACTTAGAGTCTGTATAAGTATTAACTCTCTGATCCTTGCTTAGTTCCAGCACCTTAGTTAGGGCCACCAGTTCTGCCAGCTGAGTACTGGTGCCTGGAGGGAGAGGTACTTGCTCAATTATCTCTTTGAGGGCGACTGACTACTGCATAGCCAGCCCTGCAGATTCCTTGCCCCATAAAGAAACTTCCATCTATAAAAAGAGTCCAATTTGCATTTCCTAAAGGAGTCTCTTTAAGATCTTCTCAGACTGGAGGCTGTGTAACTCCAAGAGATTATTGCCTCACAGCTATGTTCTGGGTCCCCTGTCACTTTTGGGAGGAAGGTGGCTGGATTTAGTGAGGAATAAGTTCTTAACTGAATGGCAGGACCCTCCAAAAGAGCTTTCTGATATCTTAGGAAGTAATTATCAGTTAGCCAAAGATTTTCCTTAGAGGCCAACAGACCTGACACATCATGAGGAATATACAAAGTCAGGTCTTTCCCTAAAGTTAACTTAGTAGCTTCAGGAATTAAGAGGGCTATTGCTGCTACTGCCCTAAATTGGCCATCCCTTGGCCACGAGGTCTAATTCTTTACTTAAAAAATGTTGGGCAGGTCCACGAGCCTGAGTCAGCACACCCAGGGCCATTCCTTTTCTTTCTGACACATAAAGATTAAATACTTTTCCAGTTGGAAGGCTCAAGGCCAGGCCTTCAGTAGCTGTTTTAGCTGATTAAAGGCATGTTGGGCCTCTGGTTTCCAGGTCAGGAGGTATGTTCTTGATACCTGGGTATCTTTTATTTGTTAGCTATAGGGAATGTGCTATCTCCCCATATCCAGAGATCCATAACCTGCAAAATCCTGTGATTCCTAAGAATCCCTTAAGTTGCTTTAGGGTCTTAGGGAGTGGACAGGAGACAATGGGCTTTCTTATTTCTTCATTTAATGCCCTAATTCCCTCTGACAAAGTTAAACCCAAGTGTTTTACATTGTTCTGGCATAAGTGAACCTTAGACTTTGAAACTTTATAGCCACTATCTGCCAGGAAGTTGAGAAGGGACCTACTGCCCTGCTGTGAAGCCCCCTCTGTGGGGGCACAGAGAAGGATGTCATCTACTTTTTGAAGGACCTGAACTCAAGGGTGTGAGAATTCAGACAGGTCCTTTGCCAATGCCTGCCCAAACAGATGGGGGCTATCACGAAACCCCTGAGGCAGCACTGTCCAGGTCAACTAAGTAACTGCATCTGAGGGGTCCTTGAAAGCAAAAAGGTATTGGGAATCAAGGTGCAATGGGATGCAAAAGAAGCCATCTTTTGAGTCTAAAACTGTGACTCATTTAGTTCCCTTGGGAATTTGAGTTAGCAAAGTATAGGGATTGGGAACTAGAGGATGGATGGAGACCACAGCCCCTTTAATAAGGGGAAGGTCCTATACTAGTCTCCATTCCCCACTGTATTTCTGAACTTCCAGTATGGGGATGTGTACTAAAAATTACTTCTGGGAAGTGCAAGCAGCTTCCAGCCCCCTCCTCCCACTGTCCATATGACAAAATGAGGCATAATTTTTCCAAGCTACAGTTTGGGGAACCAAAGAATTTACTAGACTTCCAAACAGATCAGTGGGCGAGAGGGTTACTTACAGAAGTGTGGGCACAGTGGACTTCCCTCCTTCATTGCAGCAGGGACCCTGTGACCTCCTGGCAGTGACCCAAAATGGTGAAGGCCACCCCCTCTTTCTGGCTTCCCCCCATTTCTTTCCCCTGCCACCCCATCCTGTACCCCCCACCTCAGATCTGAGGGCAGCCAAGAGTGCAGAATCAACATAACACTCCTTCACACAAGTCTGGGTTATCTCCTAGAGTAAAGAAGGCATGTATATAAGGTATCTCAATCCATTTGCCTTTTTACAAAACTAATCTAGTTGTAAAATTGTATTAAAATTAATCCTGGAGGCCATTTCTCTCCGTCCTCCAGTTTATAACCAGGCCAGGTCTGAGTACAGAAAAATCTCAGGTGTTCCTTTCTTAAAGCTTGTGGATAGAAGAGATCCCAGTGGATAAGGATACAGTCTAGGGGAGCCTTTGCTGAAGACACAGGAGCCTTCCCTGAAAATAAACGGCTACCATCTGTAAGACAAACGAAGACATTTTGGAACATCTCTCAAATCTTCTGTCTTCAGAGATCCTCTTATCCTTTCCCATGAGTGACCACGACAAAAAGCTGTGGGAAGCGACCACGGCCGAGTCAGCCAAAAATGGCACCTTGACTGGCTGCCAAGCCTCGTGACTCCAACTCTTGGCTGGCTGCCAAGTCTCGTGACTCCAAGCTTCCTGCCTGAGGTGCCTTGGCTGGTTGCCAAGTCTCGTGACCCCACCCCCCACCCCCCCACCAAGACTTCCTTGTGGGTTGAGCCTTAGTATCCTCCATTAAACGTCAGTCCATATTACATTTTTCAATCTAGATAAGAGGTTGATAGCCCTGAGGATGAATTTTCCTTTTAAAAGTGTTGTCAATCAATCTGTCTGGTTTAGGGAAGCTACATTATAATCTATCATCTAAAGAATACAGAACACAAAACAGTAATATCTAAAAAGATGATGTTAGAATACTCTCCTCTTCTGCCTGTTCATAACACAGCAACAAATGCAAACACAGACACCAAGAGCACCCAAGGTGCAATGCAGCAGAAATATCAAATGAGGCATCTGTCCCAGCCAAAGAAGAACCAGGTCTATCAACACCACGGGGTGGACATCAGGACCCTGCGGAGTCAGTTGTTTCCAATCCTCTGTCATTAAAGCAGTTAAAGTTGGGCTGCTGCCATCATAACCATCAAGGTAGTGGCTACAATGTCTCCAGCAGCATTTGTCTAATATCTTCCGAGGTCACAGGCTGGATCTGCGTTTTCCCCAGATCGGTCCTGAGGAGCCGTGAATCCACATGGGCCTCCCAAGTTCAGGCATCTGAAAGCTCCAGTTCTCTCTCAGCACCGGGTGGATCAAGGCTCTAATTCTCTCACTAGTATAAACTCTTTCCTATCCAGATGCAAACGTCAGTCACACGTTTCAGTCAATCACAAACCACAGTCAATGTCCTATAAAACATACGCACTCCCAGGCTCCTGACCCCACAGCTGCTAGGAAGAGGAATCATAAGAGGAGATTCAGTACTCCTTACAGACATTTACCTACTCATTCACTCTCAAGTAAATGCGCCCAGTTCCTGAGCCAAAAGCAAAAGAGGAAATGCTGAGGGAGGGAGAAACGGGATGAAACAGAAGCAGAGCAGAGCGTGCTTCCCGCCTGTTGCTGAGGAAGGTGGGAAGATGGAAAATGAGGGACCGGTAAAGCAGGAAAGACAGAGCAGCGTCCATGTACTCACCCCCCTTTGGATTTCCTGGCCAGCACCACACATGACACAGGAATGACGGGTGTCTGAGAGCAACGGAGTCTTTCTTGGCTCTGTTGTGCTTAGCTTGAGAGCTTAGGAGCCCAGAAACTCAACTATCACCAGAGCTACTCATTCCGGGTGTCCAGGTCCCTGTAGATTCTGGTCAAGTCCGCAGCATGTCTTCCAGGAACAGGGTTTTACTTCAGGAAGAAGAGAGAGAAGGGGAAAACCAGACCCCCTTACTGGCATCCCTGGCTATGGCAGAACCAGAGGCGTCTTTGGATAGATAGTTCTGGTGTTCTGGCATCTCTAGCCTCAGGTAGGGATAAGTGTACTGGCCAGATCCAAGGGAATTTCCAGCTCTCATCCAAGAAAGAAACTAGTCATTGTTCTTTTGGGGTCCTTACCCTAAAACTGCCTAGCCAATTTCTACCTCCTGCTCTCATCACTTCCTCCTTATTCACCTAATTTCCTGTCCTCTTTTTTTAAGCCCATCAAGAATTTATGTTCCCCAAATAATCTTTGATGTGGGGGCATCCCCTAGAACATGGTTGAACTACCAGGGTCACACCTTTAAAGAAAACTAACCTACTCTCCCTCTCCCAGCAGTTATCAGTTGCCAATAGCACCTCAGCTAGGCCTGGGACATCAAGCCTACCTTCTCCTCCACGCTGGGATTCTGTCTGGCTCAAGCTTGCTCAGGTCTGTGTGTGCTGTCAACACAGCTGTGAGTTCATATGTACAAGAAATAAGCATGAAAGCAGTGGATCGTTTTGGGTTTTTTGTTGTTGTTGTTGTTTGTTTGGTTTTTTTTGGTCTTTTTGAGACAGGGTCTCCCTGTAGCCCCAGCTGTCCTGGAACTCACTATATAGACCAGGCTGGCCTTGAACTCACAGAGATACACCTGCCTTTGCCTCCCAAGTGCTGGGATTAAAGGTAGTGCCACCACGCCCGGCAAAATCAGTGTTTCTTAAGTAGATACCATATGTCAGGTACTACATTGTGTACTTTACTATACAATCTCAATTTTCCCAATGATGTTATGAAATTTAGATATTATTATGCTAGTGTAGAGCTACAGAAAGCAAGGTTTGAGAAGATAACAATAACTTAATCTGATGTGACTTCAAAAAGGTCCCAGGACATTATCTCTGTCACAAGTTTTTTTAAGAGTGCATCTCCAGACATTCCTAACTGTGGTGATTAATGTCAATTGTCAAATTGACAGGCTAGAACAACCTAGTAAACAAGCCAGATCTTTTCCTATGGTTGAGGTACATGATACTCAAACAAAACCAACCCCAATCCAGAACACCCAATCTAGATTCAACTAATTTCCTCCTCTATCATGAAAGAATCAAATACAGCTAACATGTCTCTGGGTAACCGGCCAGCCATCCAGTTATCACAGTTTTCCAAGAACTAGTGGCCACTTAATCACTGCTAGTGACAATCCAAACATTCAGCACTGGCAATAGCAAATCAGTCTTAGTTGTTGAGAAAAAGCAAGTGTTAGAGTTCCAAGTCTCTTCAGCAGTTTACTCTTTCATCTTCTAAATCCTTGAACACCGTAACCTATTTTAGTTTGTTTGGGCTGCTATGACAAAATACATAGAGCTGAGTGTCTTATAAACAAGATAAATATATTTTTCATGGTTCTCCAGACTAGAAGATAAAAGATCAGATGCCAACATAGTCAGGCTCTCCTTTGGGTCATAGTCTACACACTTCTCTTCGGGGGGTCTCTTTTATAAGGGAACTAATCTCATTCACAAGGTCTCATTCCTAACAACCGAACTGGCTTTAAAAGGTCCATCCTCCTAATACCATGACCTTAGGAGTAAGAGTTTCATCATATGAAACTGGAGGAGGCAGGGACACCAACATTCAGACTCTAATGGAGCCCAATTGCAAGCCAGGATGTTTTCTTTAAAGCACAATAAAAGTTATTTGCTGAAAGAGACATGACTTTCCTCCAAAATCCTAGCAAACCAAACTGTCTCCTGTCATACAGGACGCCTGCTGAGTTTTAAATGCTTAGAGGCAAAGCTAGTCCACTTAGAGCCTCCACCCCCTGGGGATCCTTTCTCCTGCCCCAGTACTAATCAAGTCTAATGACTTTTCAGATCACCCCATAAATAGGTCAAATAGATGCTAAATTATGTTCCCAGTGATTTACAAAAAAACTCCATTAGGATAAACAATGTGATGTGTGTGAATAAGTTAGTTTTTTATTCCCTTAAGACTGGCTAATTACATAAGGAATGTTAGAAACAGCTTTGTTTGAAGTTAAAGATACATGATTTATCTGACAACCACTACAGCAGTGACTGATCCAGACTAAGATAATCAATGGGTGCTAGACCCCTTAGTGAAAGAGGTGGATTGCAAGATATCGAAGTCTCTGAGTATCACCCCATAGCTGCTTTTTAATTGCAAAGAGATATCTAATAGTGATGAAATTTGACAGACATCAATCTAAGCAATAATCAAATAAATAGCACCAGGAATGTGACAAACTGACATTTCAGGTCTCATGAGTGAGAAAGATATTTTTTTAGTATTTTTGCCAAAAAGCTTTAGCCCAGATATAATCACAATTAGATAATTAGAGAGGTATAAGTATAAATAATTAGAGAAGTATAAATTACGCACTATGCAAAACCACTGGTCTGAGCTATTCAAAACTTTCAATGTCTTAAAATAAACTAGATTAGCTGGGCATGGTGACACATGCCTCTAATCCTAGGCAAATCTCTGTAAATTCAAGGTCAGCCTGGTCTACCTAGTGAGTTCTAGACCAGTTGGGGATACAGGGAGCCCTGTCTCAAAAAGAACCCCCTAAAAAACTAGATTTAAAAATAGCCACAGCTCTGGCATCTCCATTGTGCTGGGGTCTCCAATGCAACTGAGTCTATACCTTCACCAGTGGTCTCATGGCCTCTCTGCAGGGACTGCAACCCTGCCCCATGCTAAGCCTCAGCTCTCTCTAGGACCCCTTCAATCCTGCAGCACTCATGTTGTCAAAACCAGTACCACATGAGAGATTCTTACACATTGCCAAGTATGAGATGCAGCCTTGGGCCCCCTGGACCACAGCTTCGGTGTGCTGAGATACTTCCCAGAAGAGTTCAACTCAATGATGCTGATCTCTCATCAATCATAGCTAATATTTCAGCCCCAGCTAACCAGGATCAATTATCCCAGTAAAACAAAGGTTTCACTTCAGTCGTGCTGGTCTTTCACTAATCACAGCTGATTCTTCAGCCCCAGCTGACCACAAACCACAGATTCTTAATTCAATATTTCT